TTTGAAAGGCAGAGTTTCTGAGAAGGATTTGCCATTTGCTGGCTCAGGACCCAGATGATTACAATGATCAGAGCTGAGCCAATCAGAAGCCAGGAGCTTGAAACTTTCTGGGAGGTAGGGCCTGGGGTTGCCAGCAGAGAACTGCCTAGAGCTGCAGGAGTCCTCCTGCATCACCGTCCTCCCTACACACGTGTAACCCAGATCACAGCCACCCACCTCCACCACTGCTGTCACCACCTCTCACCTCCTCACCTCACCCCACAGCATGCTGAGAGCTGGAGGCCCTGCCTTCCCCAAGACCAAGTCCAGGGAGGGCTGCAGCTCTGCCTGACAGCCCAAGACTGGGGAATGGAAGGGTCCATGGGGAGAGATGGGATGAGAGCTGGTTACTGGCACATGGTCGGTGGAGGGAAGGGCAAGAGGAAAGGAGAGGAGGTGAGGCAATCTCCCACTGCAGCCAGACAAGCTATTACCCCCTTGCCACAGATGAGGACTTTGAAGCTCTAGAGATGGAATGTGAGAGCCAGGAAGCAGCAAACATGCTGTGCAGGCCCAAAGCTTTCTAAAACTCAACGGTCCTCTCAACCAGAGGAAATTTTAACCCTCCCCCTGCTCAGGGGAAATGGAACAGCGTCTTTAGAGCTTTCCAAGGATCACCACTTGGGAAGCAGCTTCTACTGACACCTAGTGGATAAAGACTTGCTAAACAACACACCATGCTGAGCTTGGCACGTTTGTGCATACACACACACACACACACACACACACACACACACACACACACACAGATTAACTACCCAAAGCGTCACAATGCAGAGGGTGAAAAATCCTGGCTTAGGGGCTAGCGCCATGGTGTAGTAAGCTAAGCCTCCATCTGTGGTGCCAGTATCCCATATGGGCACTAACTTAAGTCCTGGCTGCTCCATTTCTGATCCAGCTTCCTGCTAATGCACCTGGGAAAGCAGCAGAGGATGACCCAAGTGCTTGAGTTTCTGCACACACACAAGAGACACGCAAGAAGCTCCTGGATTCTGGCTTTGGATCCACTCAGCTCCCGCCATTGTGGCTATTTGGGGCCACATTCCAACAGATGGAAGACTGTTTGTCTCTCCTTCCTTCTGTAAATCTGTCTTTCCAATAAAAACAAACACACAAACAAAAAAAAAAACCTTTATGAAAACAATCCTGGTCCAGACATTTGCCCAGAGCAGTCATCACCTCAGCCCCTTGCTAGACTTCCCACGGTCTAAGAGTGGCCAAGGTTTGCGTGAAGGAGCAGCTGCCCCCTAGCTTCCTACTCCAGCCCCATCCCAAGTTAGAGTCTGAGGTCCCTGCTCAATCTCCCAATCCCATGACCAAGGATGCCCAGCTCACTCTGAGGCGCTTGAGACAGTCTCCCTGCCCATTGAAAGGTGGACACCTAGTCTGAAGAGTGACTGTCTGCAGGCAGGTCACTTCAGGCTGCTCCACCAAGCCTGGTGTCCAGCTCAGCACTGGACTCCCTGATGGTAGCTTTCAGGTATGGCCACAAGATGGCACCCCAACCCATCAGGAATGCTGAGGCTCTCCGCCTGGGAGAGCCAGGAAGATATGCCAAGCTGGACAAAGACCTGGGGACTGGACTTGGACCAGGCCCAGGATTTAGCCGACCCAGGTCTAAGACCTGTCTGTGTGGAATGTGAGGATAGAGGGCAAACATGGCCTCAGAACTCCCCTCGACATTTTCTGCCAACCCCAGCTCCTTGTCTAGCCCCTTGGATACACATGGGAGCCCCATGCCTCTTCTCCTCTAGCCTGCACACAGCTGCAATGCTGAGGACGTTGGAACGATCGCCATTCCCACCCCACACTAAAGAAACCACAGAGAAGTCATGTGCTTTGTCCAAGGTCACAACTGGCCAGGGTGGGACTAGGATTTGAACCCAGGAGGTCTGATGCTCTAGGCTATGGCATACTACCCCAGCAGTAATTCACTGCTTCCTCCCACTGCCCTCCATAGCTCCCAAAGGTTCCAGCTTGGGACCATGCACCAATGCTGCAGGAGTCGCTGGGAATGGTAAGGCCAGAAAGGGCAAGGCTCCAAAGTGGGAGAGGAGTGAGGCTTTTGGTTGAGCTGAGGGTCTGCAGATAGTCTTTGTGGATGACAGGCTAACCTCCCAGTCCTCGTCCCTGTTCCCATGCCTCTGCCTTTTGTTTTTTTCTTCTATGTTGCCCTCTTGGTTTTTCTGGGATTTCTGCAAATGCCAGCCTTCAGTGTGAAGAGGAAGTGAGAAGGACTTTCATATATGCTGCTTGGGATATGGTGAGGGCAGGGAGTTATTTCTTGGGGCCTGGGATGGGGCGGGTGTCATTAGGGCACTAAGGGAGAAGAATCCTGAGGTGAAATGCATGGGGCATCCCCGGGCAGCTGGCATCTCCAGCAGGGAGGCTCTGCATCCAAGTCTTCTTTGCACATGTCTAGGGGAACCTCAAAATATGATGCCTGTCTTTCCACAGTCCTCCCTCCATCCATTTCTGCTTTACACCTGTCTTTCAAATACATCTTGCAGGGCCAGGCCTGGCCAGAACCCCTAAGCTTCCACTTTTCTCCTGCCTTGGAGCCTTTTGTCGCTCCCCGGTAGAACTCCACATGGGGTCCTGGCTGGGGTAAGGCTCTGTGCTGCCTTCCTCAGAAATACTGGGTAATCCCCACCCCCGGCACTGGGATTCTCAGATCCTGGTCCTTCTCCTGGCCTTTCCCAAATCCTCAAGACCTCAAGGAGAAGCTACTGCTTGGGACATGGGACAGGCAGGTACACAGGGAGCCCTGAAAGAGCTGTCAGTCACTTTAGGACAAGAAGAGGAATGGTGGAGAAGTTCTGGGAACCAGCCCCTGGTACCTGGCAGTTTTGAAGAAGAGGGGGAAGAGGTGGGGTCTTTGTGCCCCTAAGACTGGCATTACAGGTTCCAGGGTCAGGTGACCAGGACAGAGTGGCTACACATCAGGCTGGAAGGAAGGGAAGCCTTGGAGAGGCTTCTCTCTGGCCTCCCACCGAGGCGCGCATGTTTGTGTGTGTCCATCTCTCTGAGCTTGCTCCATTGCTCCATAGGGAGTCTCTGATGCATCATTCCCTGGGTTTGATTGAGTCCAGCTGACCTGAGAGCCTGCACCTGCGGCTCTGCCTATGGGTAAGGCCAGGTTGTCCCAGGCCTGGCCTCTTCCCAGGAAGGGACCGGGATTCACAAAGGCATGGGGAGAGAGACACTTAAAGATGCTTTCAACCCCACGTTGCTCTGAGATTGAGCAAGGAGCAGCTCTGCTCTAGGAAGATCGTGTCAGCCACGATTGGGAGTGAGGAAGCATCTTCCTGGCCCCAGACTCCCGTCCTCTCTTTGTCTCTGTTGAGCACTGCCCCTATTTCTAATGTAACTGTCCCTTCTCTCCCTGTTCTCCTTTCACCCCTCCTTCCTTGCCCTGCCCTTTGCCCTCCTCCACCCCTCCACTACACATAGATTCCTCTGTGGTTAGATCAAGATTTTCCTAGCCAGAGAAGGACAGAAACGTCCATGGGCATTGCTTTTGCTCCAGACCCACAACAGTATCTGCAGTCAATGTCAAGGGCCGACAGTCTGCGCAGTCAGCAAGAGCCAACAGGTTTACACAGGAGCTTCAGGTCTCTTTAATTAAATCGCCCTTTGCCCAGGCAGCTTGAGTTCGATTGGGTTGGGCTGGGATCGATACGCTGCCGCTTTCCCAGCCCAGCTGTCCCAGGAGTTGAACCTGTCCTCCTGTGTCCTGCCCTGATCCACCTGCCACTTCCCCCCCAAAGTCTGAGAGCCAGAGGAGGGCAGAAGCAGCATCTGATTGATCTGTTAGTGACTTATGCCTGGGACCAGTGGAGGAGTGATGGATGGACCAGTGAGAAGCGGAGGAGTGATGGCTGCGCTAAGTCAGCAGAGGCACTGGTAGCAAGCACCTGCCAGCCAGGAAGGTCAGGAGGTCCAAACTGCTACTCTCACCTCCAGGACAACTAGAAAGCTGCAGAAGTCACTGCAGGCAGCAGCTCCCACTCAGCCCCCACATAAGACACAGGGGTTACCCCAAGAGCAACTAAAGTCCTGTAGGGAGGAAGACTGTGGACAGTTAATGGAGCTTAGAATAGCACCCCTCCACACCTGGAACCCCTGAGGGCACCAAGGGGCTGTGCCTAGTGTCCGGCCAGGGCTCCCAGGAGCATGGGTCAGTACAGTTTCTAAGGGTCCAAGGTGTTTGGGCTTTGGTTTGGGAGTTGTTTCACATCACTTTATACATTATATCAACTTATGCATTATAATGTGCAAAGTGCCCCATGGCAATTGAAATTTGTATGTTGCTTTCTGGGAAAGTGTTTATTTTAGAATTAACCCAATGTGCAAGTAGTGGGTGGTGTCAAGGGGTTACAGCGGTCCAGGATGGAGTGTTAGTGAGGGGCTTAGGGAACAAGATGTGTGTGTGTGTGTGTGTGTGTGTGTGTGTGTGTGTGTGTGTGTGTGTGTGTGTGCTGCAGGCCACGCAAGAGGAAGGATCACCAGTTTCCACGTTCAGTGCCAAGGGTTGGTATGAAACGGCTCCCTGAATCTGTCAGTCTTGATCTGCGGCAAAGCGTCGCTGAACACCGTGGGGAGAGCCTCGTCTCACCGAGACCAGATAGCCCCCGGGGCTGCAAGAAAAGGGGCGGGTGCCGCCGCCCTCCTCACCTCGGTGTGACCCGGGGCCACGGGCCCAGACGCCTCTCGGAGTCCCCGCCCATCGAGTGGCGCTCCCTGGGGCGGAGCGTCGGCGGGTCCCCCGGGACCAGCGGGAGAGGAGCGGGGCGGGCGCCCCCAGCGCTGGGGTGGAGGGAGGCCGCGCTGGCGCTGGGCTGGGAGGGGGGCGCGGAATCAGGGCTTTTTAGGACCCAGCGCGGCGCCTCCCTCCGGGGGCGAGTGCGGCTGCGCGCGCCGTGTGCCCGTGTCCGGAGAGCGGCGGGCTGGACGCGGACCGCGCGAGCCGGCGAGCTGAGCAGCAGCCCGGGTGGCAGCAGCGTCGCGGCGGCGGCGGCCGCTCCGCGCCTTTCCCCGCCGGCCTCGCCGGCCTCGCCGCACCGCGCCACGCCGGGCCCCGCCACCCCCGCCTCCAGGGCCCGACCTCCGCAACCCCCTGGGCTCGGCCGGCAGCGCCCACCGCCTGCCCGAAGCCGGGAGAGCGGAGCGCGGGGCGCAGAGGCACCGGAGCCAGTGCCTGCCGGCCCCGCAGAGCAAACCCAGCTGGCAGAACCCCCCCGGCCCGGCCCCGGCAGCTCCGCGACCGTCCGGGAGCTGTCCCTTCAGCACCGCCGCGGAAGCCTGAGTCCGAGCGCAGCCCAGCGGAGCCCAGCTCGAGCCTGAGCGCCCGGAGCGCGGCGCGCAGCGGCCGCCGCACCGAGCAACACCCCGGGCGCCCCTGCCCGGGGGACCCGCCATCTCCTCCGGGAGGCGGGCAGAAGGATCGAGGAGGGCGGGCGGGCGCGCCCGCCGCCGGGGGGAGCAGGCAGCCAGGCAAGGAGCGAGGGAGGGGGCCGGAGCCCGCCCTGCACCCCGAGCTGCAGCCCAGCCACGCCGGGAGGAAGGCAGCCGGCATCCATCTCCCCCCCGCGCGCCGAGGACGCGCTGCGGCGACCACCGCACAGCCGAGCGCGCAGCTCTCGGCCCCCTCGCCTCCCCTCCCCCCTTCTGGGGGCTGGTCTACCTGCCCGGCCCCAGGAGCAGCCACCTTCCCCTTCCCCGACCCCCGCCCACCCCGTAAGCTTTGTGTGGAGCTCTCCGCTCTCCCGCTGACATGGGGCTGGAAGCCCGGCCCCCCCACCCGCTTTCCCCTCCTCCCGGGGCTCGCCGCTGAGCGCCGCCCCCCTCCCTCCTTCTCTCCCCTCCTCCCTTTCTCCCTCCCTGCCTCCCTCCCTCTCTCCTCCTCCGCCTCCTCCACAGCCAGACCAGCTCCCTCCCACATCTGGCGCCTGGAGACCCTAGGGATCCCGCACGCACTTCCCGGACCCAAGCGCCCCGAGGGGTCCGGGTCGCTCGCTGGGGTGGCCACAGCCGGGATCCTCTGACTCCCCCGACGGCTAGGGGGAGGGGGGAGGAGGCCGCGCGCCCCCCTCCCCGGCACCGACTCCCCCTGGCGGCCGCTCCCATGGGTGTCGCTGGGCCGCGCCATGCCTAAGGGGGCGCCGCGATGGGCCAAGGGGACGAGAGCGAGCGCATCGTGATCAACGTGGGCGGCACGCGCCACCAGACGTACCGCTCGACGCTGCGCACGCTGCCCGGCACGCGGCTCGCCTGGCTGGCGGAGCCCGACGCCCACAGTCACTTCGACTATGACCCGAGGGCCGACGAATTCTTCTTCGATCGCCACCCGGGCGTCTTCGCGCACATCCTGAACTACTACCGCACGGGCAAGCTGCACTGCCCTGCCGACGTGTGCGGGCCGCTCTACGAGGAGGAGCTGGCCTTCTGGGGCATCGACGAGACCGACGTGGAGCCCTGCTGCTGGATGACCTACCGGCAGCACCGCGACGCCGAGGAGGCGCTGGACAGCTTCGGCGGCGCGCCCCTGGACAACAGCGCAGACGACGCGGACGCCGACGGCCCCGGCGACTCGGGCGACGGCGAGGACGAGCTGGAGATGACCAAGCGCCTGGCGCTCAGCGATTCTCCGGACGGCCGGCCTGGCGGTTTTTGGCGCCGCTGGCAGCCGCGCATCTGGGCGCTTTTTGAGGATCCGTACTCGTCCCGCTACGCGCGGGTAAGTGACAACTTGGCCAGGAGAAGCGTGATCCGAGAAGGCAGTGCCCTGTGCTCCCCTGGGCAGGGCAGAGGGAGTGGGGAAGGGGTACGGTGCCTGGGAAACTCAGAACGGGAAAGGTGTGTGTGTGTGTGTGTGTGTATTGGCAGGGGTGGCTGGTTTGCATGCTGCAGGAATCGGTGTCAGTAAGGGCGAGTTTATTGGGATTGCTACAAAGGGGTGTGTTTGTGTGTGAGAGAGCAGACTGTGTGTGCATTCCTATCTATGTGTGGTGGTGTGTATTTAGATGGGAGCGAGTGAACACATGTGTCCCTCTGAGTGTGCACGAGCGCCCGTGGGTGTGTATTTGTGTCGTTGCAGATGTACCTGTGAAGGTGTGAACTGTCCTCTAGATTTTGGTGTGGGGAGGGAAGCCAGAAGCCCCTCCTCCCCCCAGGTAAGGAGGTGTTTGGAGCCAGCCAGGGCCCAAGATGGCCTGAGGCCTGTCTGGCTGCTTCAGAGGCCACCCCTTCTGGACCACAACCTTTGCCCCCCTAAGGTCAAGGGAGGGAATCTTAAGGGCTGATTCCCATGGCTGGGGATGGTGACACCCCTGAGACCTACATTTATTGTGGCTCTGGCTTGGAGCTTGCCTTACCTCTATGTACAAAGTGATGCTGGTGTGAGGGGGCACGGAGCACGGGGCTAACACCCATGAGTTGTAGGGGAGGGGAGAAAGGCCCCTTAAGGGGGTGCCTGCAAGGAAAAGGTGTGTCTGAGAGGTGGGTGTGTCCCCATCAGCCACTCCCCTTTGAGACAGCAGCTTGTTGCCTGGAGAAAGGACATATGGCTGCTGACCTTGGTCCCTTAGAGGCCCTCCCTGGATTCGTGTCTGCCTCTGTAAATGGAAGCAGGGGCTCCAAGGGCCTTTGCTGCTGGCCTCTCAGCAATGCAGCCCAAAAGAGGTTCTAGTAGCAGCCAGCTAGCCACCCTGGAAGAGATAGTTCCACTTCCTGGGCTCTCTCTGCAGAGACCTTAGGAGGGTCTAGGCCAGGACAGGAGCAGAGAGAGACCCTTCCCTGACCCGAAGACGGCCAAGCCCCACTCTCCCCATCCCCCCTCACACACAGGACACAACATTACCTCTGCTGCCCTTGGCTTCCTTCTGCCCACTGCAGCCTGAGCAAGCTGGGGAGGCCTGCAGCTGGAGAGCAGGGCTGAGGGTCTACCGGGGAGCCACGGGGACCGGAGGCCCCTCAGTGCCCAAGGGCAGAGAAAGGCTGTGTTAGGCCCAGGACTGGTTGGCTTGCTGCCAGGATTGAGCACAGAATGTGTGAGAGGAGGGGGCAGCAGGTTAGCCTCTAGCACTTAAATCCTAGAAGAGGTCTGTGTTGGGGGAGGGATGTAAGAGGGAGAGAATTGGCATCAGATTGTGCCACTGAGGACCCTGCCCAAGGTCACCCCAGAAGCTAAAGACCAGGCGAGACCTGAACCCAAGTCTCCGGGGACCTTGTCCTCCCCTGGACTAGCCACTAGCTCCCTGCCCCTCCCCCAAGTGGCCTGGGACCCCCCAGAGAACTCCCCTCCTCCTCCCTGCAGAGGCCATTACTATTGGAGGATTATGTAACTGGGAACTCAGCTGAGCTGGGGGGTGGTGAGGGAGGGGGCTGCAGCAGGGGCACTGGGAGATGGAGCCATTGAGTGCTAGGGGTATAGTGGGAGGCAGGTTGGGCAAAGGCCTGGCTTCCAGCAGCTGCCCGTTTGGCCCACATTTGACCTTGGACAGCATGTTCCCCCTGCTTCCAACCTTGGCCTGCATGGCTGGGGCAGGCCCCACTTCCTCATTATGATTTCAGCCTCTTGACTCCTTAGCAGAAGCCTGCATGTTCACACCCCTTTGTCCTGGACTCAGCTGTGATCAAAATCCCTGAGTGTCAGGGCAGGCAGGAGAGGATGAGGGTGCTGTCCCAGCCCCTCTCTCCCCACATTCATTTCTGGGCTGGGCAGAGGGGAGGGGAGGGGTAGAAGCTTTCCCCAGAGTAGACACATGGTCCAGCCAAGATGACGTGGGGTCTTGCCCAGGTACAAAACAGAAAAATCATTAAAAGCGCTTTTAAGGAGATGTCTGGTGAAGGATAGGTTCCCAGGGCCAAGATAGCTAGGTGGAAGTGGTGGCAGGGCCGGGGTGCCAAGGCCAAGGTGGCTACCCACAGGAGACTGCCTCACTCTGTGCTGCCCTTTCCCCCACAGCCTCAAGAAAAGCTGCTCATCCCTTCTTGTCTTGGGTGACAAATGAGGACCCAGGCCCCCAGGAGAAGGGGGCCAAGGCAGAGCAGGCATGGGAACCCCGGCTCCCCGCTGCCCCTCAGCCGGCCTCGCTGCATTGCGTTGTGTCTGCAGCTCAGCTGCGCAGGACCCAGCCAATTGCGCGCCCGCCCGGCTGCCCTCCTCCCACTTTGCGCTGCTGTCACCTGCATTCCCCTCCCCCAGGCCCCTTCTAGGCCTCCTGGAATTGCTGGGTGTGGGACTGAAGGCTGTTATTTGGGGCTGGAGACCAGGGTGGTGTGTGAGATTTGTGCCAGAGAGGTGCTATGGGGGGGAGGGGGTGGCAAGGGAGACCGTGTGTGTGAGCAGACACAGGTGATTGACACTCTGGTGCACATATGGGTATGTGAATGTGTGCACTGAGACAAGGCTTGTGCAACTCTGCTTCCCTCTATCAGAGAATGCCTGTGTGAGTGTGAGAAAGACAGATGGTGGGTGAGGTGGACTCTGTGTGTGTGTATGTGTGTGTGTGTGAGAGAGAGATTACATGTACAATGCTCAAGGTGAGTGTCGCTATGGGGACCAAGTGTGCAAGGGCCAATGGAAGCTTTTGGCTGTGTGTGTGTGTGCATGAGACCATCTGTGCAGGAGGCTGCAGGTGGACCTGTGAGTGACCAGCTGCGTGTGCCAGTGTGTTTCTGTGTGTGACAGCGTGTCTGGGGCTAGAGATACAGTCTAAATGCACCGCCAGGAAAACGAAAGGCAGCAGCTTCCTGCCTGCCACCTCCATCTGCCGGAAAGCTTGGGTCACCCTTGACGAGGGCAGTTCTGGTCAGTGTGGGCATGTGAGCCTGGTGGTAAGGTCACCTTTGCTTGAGGAGCTGCCGCCCGCGCAGGCTGTGGTATCAGCTCTGGAAGGTGGAGGACTACATGGCTGGCCTGGGAGGTCCCATCCAAGCTCCTTGGCCCCTGTGTCCTGGCCAGAGCCCTGCTTGTATCCCGGTGGGGATGATGGAGATCCTATGGGTCAGGAGTCAAGGGCTCCCTCTGTGTTGGAAAGAACTACTCCAGGGGCAGTGCTGGGGCAGGTGGAGGTTGGCTATGTGGAAGGCAAGGCCTGCAGTGCTCACATGGCAGTTGTAAAGCTGGGAGAAAGGGTGTGAGGCAGCCCTCAGGAGCCCTGCTTGAAATCTGTCTCTCCACCGCCTACCCAGCTCAGGTCCGCAGCTCTTGGCTTTCATCTCTGAAGTATATCAGGAGCATCATTCTGTGTTGCACCAGGGTCAGTGGTGGTCTCCAGGCCATGTCCCTGGCACCCACGCAGGACTGGCACTATCTGTCACCCACATTCAGTGACCTGCCAGATGCCAAGCCAATGCCCAGGCACCCAGGCTGAGGAAGCCCCACTCACAGTTCCCGCACTGCCCGCCTGTGTCTGAGTCTTTGTCCTGTGTCCACCTTTCTGCATTGTATCTACCTCTTTGGGCCCTAAAGCAGCCCTGGGGTGCCCTCAGCTCCCTGGTACTGGAATGCAGAGCCCAGCCAGAGACTTCCGTCTGTCCCTTGGACACAGGCTCTTGCAGACTTATCCTTTGGAGGATTGGGGGACAGAGCCATCATCAGGGTTTTCATAGGCAACCTAATCTCCCCTCTTTGGGTCTTCTTCTCCCGACCAGGCTCCCTGAGTCATGACAATGAGTGCAGAAGATCCTTGGGCAGTGTAAAGAAGGCTCTAGCATGTCCCCAGCCACCTTGAGCCCCCTTGCCATGATACCTACTTCAGTGTTCTTCCATGGCTTTGCGGAGGTCCTTCTGTCTGAATAGAACACCCAGCCTCTGCCCTCCCAGAAATGGAATGGCAAACCAATGGTGTGCTGATCTGAGTCCCTCAATCTCATCATGGCTAAATGGGGTGATGATGAGGCAACCTCAAAGGGCTGAGATAGAGACCCACAGGGGGCCCTGGAGCCTGGCTCCAGGTGGGACTCAGCCAGCACTGGCGGCCGTCACCACTCTTGTTGCATTCTCATTTTATCCCTGCTCATCTCCAGACTTCACGGTGCTGACCACTGGGCTGCAGCCTTCTCTGCAGGGCCTCTTTTTAAGTTGCTGACTTGGTACAGATTCCCTGCCCCAAGGCCTTTGAAGTTACAGTTCCCTCCTTTTCTGACCCCTTTTCCATGCTTTACATCATCCCCAAAACACCAGCTCCTGGCTGGGCTGGGTCTGGAGCAGGGCTGACCCTTCTGCAGAGCAGTCTGCTTTGTGATAAACCAGTGATCAACAGCTTGCTTGACTCAGCTGTATCTCCCACCTGGGACTCCAGCTTCATGCATATGCAGTGGCAATAGGTTAGGAAACAGGTCCAGCAAGGAGTACTTTACCCAAGGCCATATTGAAGCAGATCCATTACGGGGGCTACTTCAGCAGCTTGTGTGTGGGGACTACTGGTTCAGGGGGTGCACCTGCCCCAGGACTCTGGGAAGAAAGACATTGCTTTGGCCTCTTAGGGGGACCAGTAGGGGAGGGCCATCCAAGGCCCACGTTGGCGGGGCAGGCACTGGGGGATCTCGGCCACCCACACCAGCTGAATATAGTGCCTCTGGCTATTCTGAGCAGTCTCATGACCAGCGCCTTCACTCTGCACCGAAAGGTCAAGGCCTGGGCCGCAGCCGCCCATCAGTTCCTGGCCACCACCCCGGCCTGAGCACCTAGCCCTCGTGTTGGCTCAGAGGACAGGGACAGCCTGCAAGGCT